AGGATTATATGGTTTCGGACTCCAGCAAACTAAGAAACTACGACTTGTTGAGTTTCAGTGTATTATCAAAGAAAGATATCCATAGAGGCTACTAAAATATTCCTACCTTTTCCAATGATATGTTTGTGTGAGGCTGTTGAACAGCAAGCAGACATGAGCAGCCATCTGTGTTCTATTAAGATAGGCATTAGAGCTTTGCAGAATATAAAACAGTACTACTCTTCTCACTAAATTTTGTTTTATAAAATTTACTTTTCACAAAAAAGTTACTTGTATTAACATGTACTAAATAGATAATTAAATGAATTGGTCTTTTTAAAATTACATAGCAGCCTTAATTTCTAATAAGTATTGATATAATCCACATAAAGAATTTTTAAAAGGTAAGCAGGTCTTGTGGAGAAGACAATGGCAACCCACTCCAGTACTCTTGCCTGGAAAATCCCATGGACAGAGGAGCCTGGTAGGCTGCAGTCCATGGGGTCGTGAATTGGTCTTTTTAAAATTACATAGCAGCCTTAATTTCTAATAAGTATTGATATAATCCACATAAAGAATTTTTAAAAGGTAAGCAGGTCTTGTGGAGAAGACAATGGCAACCCACTCCAGTACTCTTGCCTGGAAAATCCCATGGACAGAGGAACCTGGTAGGCTGCAGTCCATGGGGTCATGAAGAGTCGGACATGACTGAGAGACTTCACTTTCACTTTTCACTTTCATGCATTGGAGAAGGAAATGGCAACCCACTCCAGTGTTCTTGCCTGGAGAGTCTCAGGGACGGGGGAGCCTGGTGGGCTGCTATCTATGGGGTCGCACAGAGTCGGACACGACTGAAGCGACTAAGCAGCAGCAGCAGCAAGCAGGTCTTGACACCAAAATGTTTGAGAATCACTGGCTTGAGTAAGGAGCACGCTATGTAAAACTACTTCTGTGCAGACCTTACGGCTGGCTGGTATCTTACCTTCAAAACTAGACTTCCTTCATTGGCAGGCAGATTCTTTAACTGAGCTACCAGGGAAGCCCTACCTTCCAATAAGAAAGAACAAATGAAAATCCCCAGATATTTGGGGTGAACCACTAACGTGAATGACAGAAGCCAAAATGATTAAAATGATTTGATTGTGGAGCAGAAAGCAAAGAGCAGGAAAGTTAAGTCCAAAATAACAATTGTCATCATTATCACCTCCTTATAAATATGAGAACATTTTTGCACCCATAAAATAATAATAGAAACATAAGTACCCAAAGAACATGTAAACACACTTACACACTTTGAAACTGAAGATCAGATAGTAGGGATGAAAAAATTCAATTGAAACGATAGAAAATAAAAGATGAAATCTGAGAAAACAGAACAAGAAACAAAAAGATGGAAAATAGAGAAAAATGAGATAGTCTAGAGTATCTAATCTAATGTAGGGGAGGAAATATTAAAACTGTAATTCAAGAACGGAGGTTCCTTAGCTTTTTGGCCCCAGGATCTGACTTCCCTGGTGGCTCAAATGGTAATGTATCTGCCTGCAACATGGGAGACCCAGGTTCGATCCCTGAGGTGGGAAAATCCTATGGAGAAGGAAATGGCAACCCACTCTAGTACTCTTGCCTGGAAAATCCCATGAACGGAGGAACCTGGTGGGTTACAGGCCGTGGGATCGCAGAGTCAGACACAACTGAGCAACTAAACTTTCACTTTCAGGATCTATATATGCTTAAAAATTGCTAAGTGCCCTAAAAGATTTTTTTGTTTATGATTTATGATGTTTTTATCTACCATAATATAAATTAAAACTGTTGTAGTTGTTCAGTCATGTCTGACTCTTTGTGACCCCATGGACTGCAACATGCCAGACTTCCCTGTCCTTCACCATCTCTCAGAGCTTGCTCAAACTCATGTCCATTTAGTCAGTGATGCAATCCAACCATCTTGTCCTCTGTCATCCCCTTCTCCTGCCACCTTCATTCTTTCCCAGCATCAAGGTCTGTTCCAATGAGTATGCTCTTTGCATCAGGTGGCCAAAGTATTGGAGCTTCAGCTTCAGCATCAGTCCTTCCAATGAATAATCAGGACTGATTTCCTTTAGGATGAACTGGTTGGATCTCCTTGCAGTCCAGGGGACTCTCACAAGTCTTCTCCAAGAAGAAGCATCAATTCAAAAGCATCAATTCTTCAGCACTCAGACTTCTTTATAGTACAACTCTCACATCCATACATGACTACTGGAAAAACCGTAGCTCTGACTAGACAGACCTTTTTTGGCAAAATCATGTTTCTACTTTTTAATATGCTGTCCAGGTTGATCATAGTTATTCTTCTAAGGATCAAGCATCTTTTAATTTCATGGCTGCAATCACCATATGCAGTGATTCTTAGGCCCAAGAAAATAAAGTCTGTCACTGTTTCCATTGTTTCCCCATCTATTTCCCATGAGGTGATGGGACCAGATGCCATGATCTTAGTTTTCTGAATGTTGAGTTTTAGCCAGCTTTTTCACTCTTCTCTTTCACCTTCATCAAGAGGCTCTTATAGTAAAACTAAGAAGTTATTAAAATATCAATGTATTCAATAATAATAAAAAATCCACAGATTTCTAGAAAAACTTACTACTCTTCCCACTAACATTTTTTGCATTTTGGAATTGTTTTACATTTTTACAAATCTCTTTGCTGTTTGACTTACTGGAAGACAGCTGGATTCTCATATCAGCTTCTGCTTTCCATCTGTGATATCACAGGTCATGTAGCCTCTGGAAAGGCCACTGTACTCTCACGAGAGAATGAAGATAAAAAATCTGATAGAGTCAAAGTATTTTTATAAAATATATTGGCCTTTTGGACTTCCTGAAGGGATCTTAAGAACCCAGGGAGCATTTTGAGAACTGATGATCAAGAACACTTCCCAAATATTCAAATTGCCTCTGTGTATGAAAAAAAAGACCCACCTCAAAACCAACCATCACAGAATTTCAGAACTAATTACCAAAGAGAAAACTCTAAAAGCTTCCAGCGTAGAAAAACATGTCACTTGTAACCTAGATCATGAATCATAATGATGTTGGACTTCTCCATAGTAGCATTAGAATCCATACAACAGCAGATGTCTCCCTGAATACTCAGAAAATAACTTCCAATCAAGAATTCTATATCCATTGATAATTATCAGTCAAGTGTGAAGGGAGAACGTTTTGAAGCAGAAAGAGTCTCAGAAAATTCACTGCCTATTACCCCTACTCAGAAAGCTGCTGGAGGGAAGACTCTCCCAAAGGAGAGATTATAGCTTAAATGGTATCTAAGAAACAGGGCTAAGGGAAGGGCATCATCAGGATGGTGTTGAAGAGAGGACCCAGCAGACCCAGACAGCACCTGTCCAGGTGGAACTGGAAGGACAGATGGCTCTAGGAAGGGGGTCACTAAGAGAGAATGCAGCCCATAATGATCCAATGTTTGAACTTGGTGAGACATGAGTTACACTTTTGGCGCGAAGTTTGAAGGTGCATTAGTAAGCTGTACTTAGGAAATCAACCCTGAACAGTCATTGGGATGATTGATGCTGAAGCTGCATTACTTTGGCCACATGATGTGACGAACCAACTCATTGGAAAAGACCAGATGCTGGGAGATGTTGAAGGCAAAAGGAGAAGAGGGCAGCAGAGGATGAGATGGTTAGATATCATCACCAACTCAATGGACATGAATCTGAGCAAACTCTGGGAGATAGTGAAGGACAGGGACGCCTGGTGTGCTGCAGTCCATGGGGTCACAGAGAGTTGGACACAACTTAGCACCTGAACAGTAACAACTTTGAAAACCAAACAAACAAAACTTAAAAAGAAAAATGAGACCATTTCAACTCCAGGGAAAACATGGTTGTACAAGAAAGGCAGTGTAGCTATGATATACTCCAAGGCTTAGCTGAGAATAGTATTTACATAGTCTTTAAAATGTGAGCTCTGGCTTTTAATCTAATTAAGTTTCCTAACAGAGTTTGCTGAGAAAGATGCGAAGAAAGGGAGCTAGGGGAAATTATGAAGTAAATACCTAAGACTGAAAAATATTGAAAATGCATTGCCAGCATGTTTGGAAACCCAGATACGTATAGCTGAAATGGCTAAAAGTTGAAAGTGTTTCCAGGGAGTGGTAGTTGAGAAGGGGAAACAGAAAGCAAAGAACTGTACAGCTATTTTTACCACAATTCCTGAAGAACTGTTTAACTTTTTATTAACTATGTGATACACAGATAATTAAAAGAAACACTTAACATATTAAAATACATATTAATATAACTTTCATGAAATGTAATTTGGGAATGTGTTAATGTTTGGAATGAGAATGCCCCTTGACCCAGCAATCCCATTCATAGAACTATATGCGGCCATGGGAGATTAGTTACATTAATGATGCTACATCCACAGAGTGCAATGGCATTCAGTTAGTTACTTAATGAATAAATAAAAATAAATAATACAGATTTTCATCTGAGGAAAGAGATTTCCTCCCCTGGCATATTTTTCCTTTAGAGCACTATCTCCATGTATAATTTTGTGTTAATCAGTGTGATTCTTCACTGCATGTCTGACTCTTCAGTGGATTCCAAGCTCCAAGAGACACACTGGTGTATTTGTTCTTAGTGCTTTGTGTACTGTCTGGTACCTGGAAACCTATGGGATGAATAAGTGTGTGTGAGCATGCGTGCAGATTTTGACAAATGTCAGGCAGACTGAAATGCTGAGTAGGACTTATCTCTGGGTGGGAGAGTTGCAGGTCAGACCTCTGTTTACACCCCTGCTCCTCCATAACCTCAGGCAAGTCACTTATCCAAGCCTTGGATGTAATGACAAAACTTCAGATGTGCAGTTAAATGGTTCCTTATAAAAAGTAAAATAAAATAAAATAAATAAATGGTTCCTTATAAATGCCATGTAAGTGTTTAAACTTCTAAGTTATTTAAAATGTCCTCAACCCTCAGACCACAACCTAATACATTCTTTTTTTTTTTTTTTTAGTGAACTTCTGCAAGACTTGGAAAACTGTGAAAATGATCCTGTGGCTATAGCAGAGTGTTTTGTGTCCAAGGTAAGCAGGGTTCATCTCTGTGAGCCAACCAAGACAGAGACGGAGACACACTGTTCTCATTGTAAAGTTAAGATGACCGATGTGTTCCATATTGGATGAAGTCCACCACTAATCTCTCTCACTCTGAGGGTATTTTTCTCCCCACTAGCCAGGAAAAAAAATTCACTTCCCAGTGACTTGTGTGCATGCTTGTGTAGTCACTTCAGTTGTGTCCGACTCTTTTCAACCCCGTGGGCCATAGTCCCCCAGGCCCCTCTGTCCATGGGATTCTCCAGGCAAGAATACTGGAGTGGGTTGCCATTCCCTTCTCTAGAGGATCTTCCCGGCCCAGGGATGGAACCCACATCTCTTACGTCTCCTGCATTGGCAGGTGGGTTCTTTACCACTGGAACCACCTGGGAAGCCCAATAACTTAGCAGTTGTTTTAGAACTTGTATAATAACTAAATGATGCCACATATCTGTCCTAAGAAAAACTTTAAGCTTGGGAAGAGGAGAGTCCAGAATAGAAGAATGTTAGAAAAATAAGTACATGTAAAAGATGACTAGAAAAAAATAAAATATGACTAGATCAGTTATAAAAATCTGTAAGAATATAAATACTTTACATATATATAAATATATATTTAATATACTGCCATATACATATGTATGTATATATAGTTACATATATATAGATAAACATATATATATACACATATATATGGCACTAGCTTATTCATTTAGTGGAAAAACAAAACAGAGTTAATCTCCTGCCTCTTAAATATGCCCTTTAATTCTCCTACATTCTTCTTAAGTTGCACTGATGGCTTAGAAAAAATGCAAGGAGGGGATTTGAATTTTAAAGCTTAAATGACAGTCAGTTTAAATTCTGTACCCAGGTAAGAGAATTCTGAAACATACAAGGGAATCCTTTACAACATGACTTTCTTGATGTCCTACTGTAAATAGAATCTTATCTTACGTTCCTCTAAAAATTCAGCAGCTTTTGTTTGGAAACCTTCTAGCAGAAATTGTTTTTCCAGCAAAACTTCATGTAATTTTTACAGTTGTGGTTTCAAATGTACAAAGGTTGACGTGAAGTTCATGATGGCGCTTTTGGGTCAACTGAGAGTTAGCACCTCATTTAGAGTCTCAGAGGCCAATGTGAACTTGGAGACGTCCCCCCAGCCTGACCAGGTTCCAGGGTTATTCCACAAGGTTATTTCTGATGATCCAATGGTTTTGAATCCAAACATAACACTCTTGGTTCTACTCAAGTGGGGCTCCTTAAAGGTAGTTGATGGACTTATATATAAAACACTCCTGACTTTGTGGGTGGCAGGGTATGTGTTAACATACAAAATGTTTGTGCACACATGCTTACACACACAATTCTTCTCACAAGTGGCCTGTGTCACAGTGAAGGGTAAGAATTTGGAAAAGAGAAAGAAAATGAAAGAGGGAGAAATGGGTAAAAGATAACGCTGAGTGTATCAAAGAAGCTGTGTTAGAATAACCACAGTGAATAAACAACATAGAAGCTTTCGGAAACATTGGGGCTTTTCTGGTAACTGTAATCACAAGTTGATTAAAGACGGTCCAGCATATGCTTAGCTCTGGTTTAATTATTCACATAAAAGTTTGTTTATGCATCAGGTTGCCAACTCCCAAATCTGATTTCTTGTTGCGATATTGCCAAGTTTAATTGGAAGACTGATTGCAGCACTCCACACTCCTGTGTGTGAGCAGGGAATAGTGAGGGGGTGTGTGTGGGTCTGGCACAGCCTGCTTCTCACTCAGCACCCTGAAATTTAGAAGATGTTACACTTTATGGAACACAAGCAGCTGCTCACCTCTGGGGAGGAGTGGAAAATTGCTTTAATTGAGGGGCCGTTAATGAAAGAGGTGAAGCTGGCGGTTGCCATCTGCTTTCATCTGAGTCACTGGGGCTTACACGGAGAGTCAACTTTGACCTTGCTTTTGTGGTGTGGCTAGGCAACAGAAATCCCTCCTGACAGGAGGAGAACGCAGCCCTTCTTACCTGCTGCCCAGAAAAGAACAGCCAAGCGCTGCAGAAGCCACTCTCGGGAGGGGTGAACGACCCCGCCAGGCAGGCCAGGCTCTCGCCCACCGAGCGCTCGGTGGACTCTGGAAACACCTGGAACGGGTTTCCGTGGTTTCCTGCCTTCACCTCCACTCTCATTTCCGTCACTTAGCTTGACTGTCAGCCAGGCTGACCCTGGGTGACATTTAGGAGGGAAGCTTGTCTTCAGAGGCCCAACTTCCCTTAACCGCCTCCTTTCACCTGATGCGCGGCCCCCTCCTCTTTGGAGCCTGTCTCCTCTCAGTGCTCAGGCATGTGTGTGTCCACGCACACACACACACACACACACACAAACACGAGCCACTTGTTGAAATTATCCTCGGGAAACTGCTGGTATCAGATAATAGGTATGATTGGAGTCTATTCAAATCAATGTCCTGGGCTCCCCGAATGGCGCTAGGGATAAAGAACCCTCTACCAAGGCAGGAGGCATAAGAGACGCAGGTTTGACCCCTGGGTCCAGAAGATCTCTTGGAGGAGGGCACAGCAGCCCCCTCCAGTATTCTTGCCTGGAGAATCCCATGGACAGAGGAGCCCGGTGGTCCATAGTCCATAGGGTTGCAAAGTGTCAGACACGACTGAAATGATTTAGCATGCTCACACACAAATCAACGTCTCCTTACAGAGTAAGCCTTTCTCAGTAGTGTCCTGTGAAAGCTGCTCCGTCGTCAGTGAGTGTGTGTGTGTGAGAGAGAGGAAGGAGAGGGAAGGAAAGAGATGGAGTGGGGAGACGTTAACATTATGGCAGAAGAAACCCTAAAATCATACAGATTTCTATTCTCTGATTTTTCATTCAGGAAATGTTCAAACACCTTTTGTGTTCAGTTGACCCTGATGGTTATATTTTGGTTCTTTCATAATTAAATGTCTTATTTTGACATCATTACTAATTGCAAGTTGAAAGTGTTAAATAACGAGAAGAAGATATCTATTTTTATATAATTTTCTCTCATTGCCTTCTTTCTCCCTAAATACTTCTGAAAAGGATTTGAGTGCATATATCATAAGAAATAGTTATTCAGGGATTAACTGAGTAGGAGTTATTGACTTTTGTGTAAAGCCATTATTTGAACTGTCCACATGGCTCATAAATTCAAGATCAAGTATGCATTTGGCTCTATATTAAGAATATATCAGTGATTTAAATCGAAACTGCCTAATTTAAGACAGAAACAGAGCCATGGTGTCACAGAATGCCCCAAAATTCGGTTGTGCAGAGAAGCCTTGAGATATTTTTAGGGTAGCTCATGAAGATGATGTAATTTAGAATATTTTTATTGAGGCCATTGTGTTTGGTATTTCATATGATGCTACATTTAAGGGAATGAGCCAAATAGCTCTTCAGCCCCGTACTGAGTGTGGCAGGAGGCGGGAACAAAGCAAGAAAGTGTGAGTGTGAACTCACCCAGAGAAGGGCTCCAGGGACTCCTGTGGTGGTCCCGTGGTCAAGACTGTGCTTCCACGGCGGGGGAATACAGCGCAGTCCCAGACCAAAGAATGGAGAAAGAGAGGGGCACTCCAGGCTGATGGTAATTTCCTGAAAGACCTTGAGCAAGTCACTGTACCTTTCTTATCCCTGGGGAAGGTGGAACACTCCAGTGCCTTCAGGAGCTAAGCTGATGAACACAGTGCATGAATGGGCCCAGGCAGAGGCCAGAGCGTCGAGGTACTTACTTCTTGGGGACAGAAGTGTTACGTAAAACTGTAGGCCTAGGGCCTGTGGATCTAATACTTTTTCAAGAGAAACCAAAAAACAAAAAAAAAATTTATCTTTTAACTTTTAGAATTTGGCAACTTAGTTTTTTTTTTTTTAATACTATGCTTAAAAATTTGGCAGCATACCATGTTGGCAAGGCCATGGGGAAACAGACACTCCTATAATTGTGGGAAAATAAAATAGACCCTCTGGAGGGGAATTTGGCTATGTCTAGGAAAAGTACATCTGAATTCACCCTTCATTCCAGCAATCCTACTTCCAGAAATCTATTCTAAAGATATAGTGACAAAGTCTCAACAATGGTGATGTTATACTTCATAGTACTCATTGTTACAATTTATAAACCTATATAAGGTGCATCCTTAGTCGTGTCTCACCCTTTGCGACCCCATGGACTGTAGCCCACCAGGCTGCTCTATCAATGGGATTTTTCAGGCGAGAATACTGGAGTGGGTTGCCATTTCCTTCTCCAGGCGACCTTCCTGACCCAGGATCAAACCTGCGTCTCCTGCATTGACAGGCGAATTCTTTACCACTGAGCCACCGATAGAAATATGCAATACATGGAAACAGCCCAAATGTTCATGAACAAAACCTGATTGAATAAACTATGGCATATCCCCATAACATAGCAGTACAAAGCAGTAAAAGCAAATAAAGAATATTCCTATATACTACTAGAAAGGGGATGGGATGGGGAGTCTCGCACTGTGGTTCTCAGGGTGTGGTCTCTGGACCACATCATATAGGATCTTGTTAGCAAGCAGATTCTCAGGCCCTACCCAGACCTACCAAATCAGAAACTCTGGGGGTGCAACCCAGTAATCTGTGTTTTAATAAGCCCTCAAGGTAATTCTAATGCTGAAGTTTGAGAATCACTGACATAGCTTGCTTTTATTTATCTAGAAATGGGGAAGGTTATACTTATATTTCAATGTGTATGTTTAAAAACAAATTTTTAAGATAAACTGTAAGACTAGAAGTTGGTTCCTGAAAGGAAAGGCAGGGAATGGACTAGAATGAGAAGGCATAGAAGCCAGACTTCTCTAAGTGTGCATTTCTTTGGAGAGTTGACTTTGAAACCATGTATTTATTTTACATAATTATAAGACAAAGTTTAAAACAGCCTTCAAAAAATGAAAGCAGATTGAAACAATGAACCTAACTGTAAATCCAGTTTGTAGCTTGACCACACAGAGGAAATGCCAATCAATTAAAAAATATGCTATGGGAAAAATACAGCAAATACATCCTTAACTGTTTTCAGCAATGATATCATATATGATGGTTTCAGTATTGTTATTCCAAAATTGTGTGTATTGTGGGATAAAGGAAATGAATATTCACAGTTGTGTCATTGAGAACTGGAATTGGCAAGACAAAGAAAATACAGATTAAGAATGAGGCTAATTAGAAACACTCTAGTCCTGAATCTGAATTGCAAGAATTAGCATGAACTAAGCATGTGTTTTAGCTTTAGAAACACCATATTTCTAACCCTGTCCACTGAGAAGGCCTAGAAATAATAATTAACGTGGTAGCAAGAGCATCGCTAATGCTCAGATTGTGGTTTTCACATACTGTTTCCTACGTGAAGGAATCCTGGCGGCTCCGTGGAGAACAAGTGTGGGAGGGAAATGTGCAAGAGGGTCTGAAACATCGTGTCACCCCAGAAAGCAAGGCGCTACTGGAGGCTGTAGGTCAGGTCACAGATACTCAAGAAAAGGCTCCTGTTGGCCAAGATGGAATCATTTGAGCATCAGTAAAAAGATAACTAACCAAAAACAACTGAAAGTCATGAAATATGTTTATATTCATGAAATTCACAGTGATGTTAAAAAACCCAAGTCCTTTATAGGAGAGCCGATGCATTATTTTGAAAATTAAGGAAAGGAATCGAGCGTTTATCCTGTCTTTCCCATACAAACCACAAACTGCAGGGTAACTAATCTAAGGCAGTTCCTTTCTTGGAAAAAATCTGGCTAATAAATGAAGAATGGAGAAAGCAATGGCAACCCACTCCAGTACTCTCGCCTGGAAAATCCCATAGATGGAGGAGCCTGGTAGGCTGCAGTCCATGGGGTTGCTATGAGTCGGACACTATCGAGCGACTTCACTTTCACTTTTCCTTTGCATTGGAGAAGGAAATGGCAACCCACTCCAGTGTTCTTGCCTGGAGAATCCCAGGGACAGGGGAGCCTGATGGGCTGCCATCTATGGGGTCATAACTGAAGCGATTTAGCAGCAGCAGCAGCATGAATTAAAAGACCTAAGCAGTAATTACCAGTGATTATTAACATCACAGAAAGAGAGAACCAGCTCCTATGCCTCTCAATTTAAGTACAATCAAGTCTATGATGTACTTGGGCCACATTATGGAACCTAAATCCAGTCAAGCCTCTTCTAAACCACAAGGAGCGTGGAAGACAGGAGAACATAGTAAAGAAAGCCTTAGGGACGTGATCAGCAAAATTGAGACTGCAGGAGACTGCAGGACAAATCATTTGGTTTCTTCAACTTAATTGCAGGGGGGAAATGAGAGGGGGAACTTATAGATTAGAAGGGACTTAGATATCAACAATATCAAGTTGCTGTGTGTGGATGTTGTTTGGAATACAGAGCAAGCAGCAAACTATAATTTTAAAAAAGGAAATAAAAAATAGGAATAGTGATAATGAACCCTCATGGTATTATGCAATTATTTATTTACATTTTATTGATGTAAAGTTGGCTTATAATGTGTATAATTTCTGCTATACAACAAAGTGACTCAATTTTTTACGTATATATTTCTTTCCATATTCGTTTCCATTATGGTTTATCACAGGATATTGAACATAGTCCCCTATGCTATACAGTAGATATATACTACTAAATATGTTGTTGTTTATCCATTTTGTATATGTAATAGTTTGCATCTGCTAATCTCAACCTCCCAGTCCTTCCCATGGAATTATTTAAAGATGATAATAGCATTGTAGTGATGTTTCTCTTTTAAAGTCCTCATGTTAAAGATATATACTAAAGTGTTTACAAGTAAGTGAAATGATATTATGTCTAGAATTTGTTGATAAGAGAACCTGGAATCAGTTTGTTGATAAGGGAACCTTAGCAAAAGGCAAGAAGCCCCCATTAGTTAGCTGAACATTTAATGCACTTGAGGCATCGCTGCCATGCTAGATGTACAGATGAGTAGACCTGGATCCTGCTCTCAAATAATTTTCAGCTTCATAGGAGACAGGGGCATTCATTAGTTCAAAAAACATTATGTGCCAGGCTGGCACACTATGGCCCCTCTCCTGCAGGAACTCACAGTATAGAGTGGCAGACAGATGCACAAAAAATGTCATGCTCACTTGGCAAATGCTGTAAGATAGGTTGGCACCGAGTGTTGTGGGCCCCAAGGTAGGAGCAATTGGCTCAGTCCGAGAACTCAAGTCCCTTGAGAGGAAATAAAGCCTCAGTTCAATGTCAAAAGGTGCCTCGTGGCTGTCCAGTGAAAAAGATGGGAAAGGCAGTGGGCAGAGGAAGCTGCACACACAGGGCTTGAAAGTGTTCCCTTGCACAAACTTCCAGCATGTTCTGACCACATACTATTTAAATTATCTGCTTATATTTCTCTCTCACACTGAAAATGCCCAGAGGACCATGAGCACCTGGGGACAGAAACCCTACTGTCTTCCTCTACCTATTTGCCTTCAGATTCATCTAACATAGCAGATGCTCAATCAGTATTTAATGATCTCAGAACCACAATGANCACTGGGATGACCCAGAGGGATGAGATGGGAGGGAGGTGGGAGGGGGGTTCAGGATGGGGAACACATGTACACCCGCGGCAGGTTCATGTCAATGTATGGCAAAACCAATACAATGTTTTAAAGTAATTAGCCTCAAAAAAAAAAAAAAGCATTTAATGATCTCAGATGAGTCCAAGTGCATGTGGATTCTAGGTAAAAATCAAGGTAGTTAAAATGGCATGAATGATTGCCACAGGGACTCAGAAGACAGGCCAAGGTGGTTAGAGAAACAACTTCTGAAACAACACCTTTTAAAGGATGAATGATATGTCTTTTACTTTTCATTGAATGTTGATGTCCCTACTTTTTTTCTTTTTTTAGCCTATTACATCTCTTTTGTTTCCTTGCAGAGTGAAGAGTTCCACATTTATACCCAGTATTGCACAAACTATCCAAGGTACGCCTTGAATGTGTGGGAATACTTTTGCTTACCATCATGTTGCTTGAGGTTGGTCAATGCAGTATATGTGGTCAGTAGGCACTATGTGCCTGGTGCTGTGCTGAATACTGTGAGAAAATTGCAGAAATGCTGAGAACAGATCACAGGGGTACCCCGATATTGATCCATTCAGGCCTAGGGACCACTCAGCAGGGCCAGCACAGGGGAAATTGTGAATGACCTTGAAGGAGGCCAAAAAGATTGTTAGGTGTCCTCCACTGGACTCCTGGAAGTGTTTGGCTAGAAGAACGCTTATCTATTAACCCTTTTGTATGTGTGCTGTGTTTTTAAGAATGTGGGATGCCCTGCTAATGAGTTAATATAATCTATCTGGGGATAAAATAAGTTATATTTTTGCTATCTAAGTTTTAGAAGCTATGCAAGTTTTATGGAGCTCAGAGAAGGGAAAGATCATGATAATCTTCCTTACCTGGACCATCAATTCAGGTTCATTTACACCAGAGGTGCTGGCAGGAGGGCTGTTGAAGGAGCAGCCTCAGTGATCATTCAGTAAGGGAATCAGGTCTAAGGCCACGACTCACTCTGCTGGAAATCTTTTTTTCTGCAAAAGACATTTATTGAGCACTTATTAATTCAAGTGCTGCTCTTGATGCTATAAATACAAAATGTGATTGAATTTCATTTTCCCAGCAATCTAGAGATGTTAAGGGATTAAAGAAAAGCAGAAACACAGACAGCGCAGGGCCTGGCCCTGATAAGTCCTCCAGAAGTGCTTGTTCATCACCATTCCTGCCCCATCCCCACTGCATGGGTGAAATCATCGAGCCTCCAGTAGGTTTACTGATTTTACAGGAGTCACACAGCTGACAAGTGAGTGAACCCAGCTGGGATTTAAACCAAGGTTGGTCTGGCTCCAGACCTCATGCTGCTACATCCTTGTAGAATTTCTGAAGCTTTGTGATTCCCTCTGAGCCGTACCTTTCTACTGTCTGCCTGCCCATGACTAGCAGGACTAGTGTTGTTATGTTAGGCATGAACCAGGAAGAGAACTCGGGGAACTTTTATCTACTCTGTAGCCAGTCTTGGTATGGACGTGTCCTTAAGGATAAAGTGGGTGCTGGGGTCCACCTTGAAGAGAAGCCAGCAGGCTGAGCCCCTCCTGCCACTGTGATCAGGAAGAGCAAGTGGGTCATTCCTTCCTGGGGGAGGCCCTAGAAAGCCAGTGTGGATTAAAGGATGTGAAGCCAGAGGCTCTGGCTTACCAGTGTCAAAATTCCTTCCATTGGAGGGTTTTCACCTCCTCCTCTAAATACTGGTCTGCATATTGTGCTGTGGTGATTTATTTGGTTGGTGGCCAGGCATGTTTTTCCCAGGTTTCTCTGAAAACAAAAAACAAAACCCCACATACAAACTAGTACATTTATCCATCTCCTTATCTGTAGACCCACCCACACTTTACCCAGTTTCACTTACACAATGCTCTCTCCTGAAACATGTGTTGCCACGTCTCTGCTAAAGATAATCAGGAAATTGTAGGATGCCCCAACTGAATCCGTGGTCCTTACGCCAAAAGCCAGGATTATGCCACACCCTGATGCAGAGACATCACAGAATCAGGCCTCAACTTCTCCATAGACCTTCCTCCTGAGAGAAATGGAAAACCTTTCCAACTCTGAAGAATCAGCAGAGCCCTGGACCCAGTTACCAGGAGCCAGATGCCAGAGTGGTTTGTGTGAAGGATTATGTCTGTGTACATTTCATTATAAACATGTCATATGAAGAAACATCTTCTGAATATTTAGTTTTTGAGGTTTATATTAAGAAGATTTTTCTGACTTCGTAATAAGAATGGAGAGTGCAAAATGAAAGCAACTTTTATAAACTTGGCTGCTTCAGGGTCAGGGGACAGGCACAGTCATTTGTGCAAGGTCATTTTTGAGGGCCTGTCCTTCATGGGGCACAAGTCCACATTCAGCGTACACTGGCGGGAGATAGGAACTTCTATCCCTTGCCTTCAAGCAGTTCATTTTCTTTTGAGGGCCAGAACTGAACCAAATGCAAGACTGGAACAGCCGTTAGGAAAGATCAAATCCATGAATATATGTCAATGCAGCACCGCCGCAGTCATGTGTAACAGAGGCTAAAGATGCATGAGATAAAGGAGAAGTCAGGACAGTTTCCTGGAGGAAGATTTTTCTATTTTGCATCTGCCTTCAAAAAAGGAAAGAAACATGTTAGCAGGGAGATGCTCCCAGGCCCTCTCAGTGAAGTGGGTACATCCGAGTCTTGTCCGGTTGTGTGGTTTTCATGTTCATAGAGAAAGATTTTCTCTCGTCCTCCTCCTAACCATTTGCCCTCTGAGGCCCAAGCTTTCCCTCCCCTTCCCCATCCTCACAAACTGTGAGCACCAGGTGTTTCAGCCCATCTGACAACGTGTCTTCCCCTTTTGGACCGGGCTGGTGATATTAAGTGTCTCCTGCATGCCTTGACAGATGTCCCCCTTCATAGCAGTCACGCCCCGGTGACTTCCCTGGGAAAAGGCTCCAGCCCTCCCTCTTGTCCCCAGGGAGAGGCCCAGACGCACTCAGGTCATTGTCCTCAAATCTCCCCCCGTGGCCTCAATATGGAGTTCAGTGTGCTTAGCATCTCCCGCAGGTGTCTTAGCCTTGTGCAAGAACTCAAGACTTCAGAGGGTTAGACAGCCAGTGGGCAGCTGATTCTGACTCTAAAGAGCCTTAGAAAAGTCCCTGGGTTACATGATAAAGAATCACTTTGAAATCTTCACTTGAAGGGAAAAATAAATCCATTTGAACAGATATTTCTCCAAGCAGTCAGACACAAAAGGGATTCTGATCACTTCGTCAGGAGACCACCGTCCATGTCACTTCCTTCCAAGGAGTTTATTTTGTTGTTTGGCTCCTATTTTCTGAACTAATTCTGAAAACTTAGTAAGATTTGGGGAGAGAGGGGCTGAAATTACTTCCACCTACTTCTAACTTAAGAGAACATGAGATTTTAATTTACGCGCGTGTATGTGTGTGTGATCTCACAAGACCACCAGTTTACTTCATGTATAAGCTGGGAACATTGTTTCAGCCATCTCTCTAGGATGTTTGGGGGCCATACTTCTTGGAGTGGACAGGAATCCTGAGCCATTTTTCTAATACACTCTGTAAAGTGCAGTCCTTGAGGACCAAAGTTAACCAGCTGTTTCAAAAACTGAATTTAGAATGAGGGGATACCTGGAGGTGGACAGAAAGGTCTGTTCAGAGATTCTCAAAGGGAAGTTCCCTGGGGGACGAGGTCTCCAAACACCTGCACGTAACATCACACACTTTGTGCACTTACACAAACACAACCAGTGAAGTAGGTGACAGATGTCTGGCGTGGGGCTGGGTCTGCTGGAAAGAAGCCACTCTTTCTTAGTATAATGGTGACTGCTCCTTGCAGTGTAACTTGTGAAAACTGAATGCAGATGTGAAGCTGAGCAGTGAACAGAGATGCTCATGTGTGTGTGCTCAGGCGCTCCACCATGTCCAACTCTTTGCAACCCCATGGACTGCAGCCCACCAGGCTCTTCTGCCCATGGAATTTGCTAGGCAAGAATACTGGAATGAGTTGCCATTTCCAATTCTAGGGAATTTTCCTGACCCAGGGATCAGACCCACGCCTTTTGCATCTCCTGTATTGGCAGGCAGATTCTTTAAATTGGGGTACCATCCAATTTAAATCCCCTGTGACAAGCCCTGTGTCCTGATAGAGGCTTCATCTCCTTCAAGGACAGAGCTGGCAGCATAGATGTCACGTGTCCATGTCTCACCGCCCTCTTATAGTGTCTTTTTCTAATTCACTCAGAGGTGAATCGGGACCAGATTCACCCAATTCAACCAGAGGGACACCTTTTCCTCACCTGCCCAGAGGCATTCTAGTCTACCTATTGCTCTGTTACTGCCTTATCTGCTTTAAGGCCTTGATACTTACTCTGGCATTTAAAGGGCTTGCCTGGTGGCTCAGATGGTAAAAAATCTGCCTGCAATGCAGGAGACCTGGGTTCGATCCCTGGGTTGGGAAGATCTCCTGAAGGAGGGCATGGCAACCCCCACCAGTATTCTTGCCTGGAGAATTCCATGGACAGATGGGCTACAGTCTATGGGTTCGCCAAGTAGGACACGACTGTATGACTAACATTTTCACTTTCACTGGCATTGAAAACTTGAATATCTATGTCAAGAGTTACAATTTTGATTTTAAAATATCCTTGCAGATCCGTGGCCGTGCTAACAGAGTGTATGAGGAACAAGGTGCTGGCCAAATTCTTCAGGGAACGGCAGGAAACTTTGAAACACTCACTGCCTCTGGGGTCTTATCTCTTGAAGCCAGTTCAGCGGATTCTCAAGTATCATCTCCTTTTGCATGTAAGTTTCTGCCTGCACTGAAAGGACTTTCTAGAGGCTAGGGGTTTTATGTGTATATATTAAGTTTAGGAGAAAAAAAAATCAGATGTGGACATGTGGAAACGTTTTCCACACTCATACTTTACAACTGACTAATCTGCTTTGAGGAATTAGAGATATTTATATTGTAGGCCTGCAGCCTCATTGACAACAGCCAAGTAGAAAGATTCATTTTAGCTCTGATGGTGAAAGGGCTTACAAGTCCTTCACTCCGGGCAGTGACAGTTTCAGGCAAGGAGCTGTCTTCTTAATGAACAACAGATTTTGTGTGTATGTTTTATTTTACTTCCATGAGCCCGGATTCGGTAGGCAGTTGGGAGTAAGAGCTGTTTGTCACAGATTGGCTTTCGTAGGAGCAAAGAGAAAGGGCTGAAAGGAGAGAAGACAGATGAGCAGTGTGATAAACGTCTTTGAGCTGGGCTTCACCTCACTTTGGGTTCTGTTCCCTTTATATCATTTCTCATTATTTGTACAAAATTTAAGGAGGCTTTAGAAACAAAAGTAGACATAGCTCTCATACATTCTCATTTCTTATCCTCTAAGGAAGCTGATAAAAATGGAAAATAGTATTCTCAAAGTAATTTCATTCTGTAAGGAGGGTGAATTGCCTTGGCAACTTGACAAAGACAGGATAGCCAAGTGGTTAGGTTAGGAGCAGGGCTGTGGTCAAGAGACTACCTAGATTCCAGTCCTGTACATTTCCCACATTCATGGTGCCTCACAGGCAGTCAGTACAGATAAACTGTTATTTTTATTCTATTACTTTGATTTATTTTTTTAATTGGAGTATAACTGCTCTACAGTGGGGCTTCCCTGATGGTTCAGACAGTAAAGAATCCGCCTGCAGGACAGGAGACCCAGGTTTGATCCCTGGGTTGGGAAGATCCCCTGGAGAAGAGAATGGCTACCCACTCCCATATTCTTGTTGCCTGGAGACTCCCACGGACAGAGGAGCCTGGTGGGCTGCAATGTTATGTTAGTTTTTGCTGTAAAACAAAGTGAACCAGCTACATGTATACATGCATCCCCTTCCCTCTTGAGCCTTCCTCCTACTCCCTGCTTTATTATTTTTAATGCTACATCAAAAATCTTTTCTTAAAAAGATTTAAATCTAGAGTTCCTATCTCTGTCAACATGCCTGCAGTATACATGTATCTCTTTTTAAATGATTCCAGGCTTCTAACTTGGTTAAGCATTCCAAGGTTCCTCAGTTCACACGCATTTAAAACTTAAAGCACTCTTTATGGTCCATCTTTACCAGAAATTTCTCAGCTTTGTCTGTTAGCCTGTGTGGCCCATCTTGGGAGAATCTTGTGTCCTATGAAACCACATTGTGGATATTACTTTAGTTGTTCCATTGGCTTTAATGACCCTTAAGTTTAGTGGGATTAATTTACTAAATCTGTGCCAAATAATTCTTTAAAAAATACTGGCTTTCCCACGATAGATCTTTTCTGGACTCTGCTAATATGGTATAGACTGTAGCCTGCAAGGCTTCTCTGTCCATGGAGTTCTGCAGGCAAGAAGACTGGAGTGGACTGCCATTCCCTTCTCCAGGGGATCTTCCCGACCTAGGGATTGAACCCGGGTCTCCTACATCACAGGCAGATTCTTTACCATCTGAGCCACCAGGGAAGCCCATCTGAATCTAGTGTGTCCCAGTAATATCTACTTAATGGCTTTCTAGACAGTAAGTCAATCAAAAGAAAAGTCTCAGATCTCTGTTACTTAAATAAGACTCCACTCAAGATTCTTACAAAGAGTTAACTGCTAGGAAGAACAGCCCTTACCCTCTAAATTAAAAGCTGGGATATTAGTACATGCTGCTATAACAAAATGCCATAACCTGGGTGACTTGGACAACAAGCATTTATTTCTCATAGTTTTGGAGGCTGGAAGTCAAAGATCAGAAGACAAGCACGGCTGAGTTCTCATTTGCAGACTGCCTTCTCCTCTTCATTTCCTCGCATGATAAAAAGAGGCAAGACTGCTCTCCGGGGTCTCTTTTATTAGAGCACTAACCTCGTTTATGATGGCACCACTCTCACGGCCTCTTGTTTGGTCACTAAATCCTGTTTAATTCTCGGGTCTGCAGCACGCCAGGCTCCCCTGTCCTCCACTGTCTCCCGGAGTTTGCTCAAATTCATGTCCATGGGATCAGTGATGCCATCCAACCATCTCATCCTCTGCCACCCCTTTCTCCTTTTGCTTCAGTCTTTCCCAGCATCAGGGTCTTTTCCAATGAGTCGACTCTTCGCATGAGGTGGCCGAAGTATTAGAGCTTCAGCATCAGTCCTTCCAATGAATATACAGTTGATTTCCTTTAGAATTGACTGGTTTAATCTCTTTGCTGTCCAAGGGGACTCTTAAGAGTCTCCTCCAGCACCACATCTCAAAAGCATCAATCCTTTGGTGCTCAGCCTTCTTTATGGTCCAACTCTCACATCTGTACACGGCTACTGGAAAAACCATAGCTTTGACTAGAAGGACCTTTGTCAGCAAAGGGGTGTCTCTGCTTTTTACTACATTGTCTAAGTTTGTCATAACTTTCCTTCCAAGAAGCACGTGTCTTTTAATTTCATGGCTGTAGTCACTGTTTGCCTGGCCTAGTTACCTCCAAAAGCCCCCATCCTAATCCCAGCACATTAGAGGAAAGGATTTCAACATACTAATTTGTGGAAGATACAACCACTCAGTCTGTAACAGCTGAGAGTGAAGAAAAAAGAGAGGAACAGTGATTAGATGAATTTAAAACTAACTTCTGGTTTCCTGGAGTATTTTTGCTTTCATACTTGCTTTAGAGTGTTCCTTCTGTGTCATTCACATCACTTCAAAGTTGTGTAGTCACCCGTGACGATCCCCACAGGGATACACTCTGTACTTCTGAGTCTGTTTATGATCAACAGGAGTGACTCTCAGGCTAAAAGAAGAAATGATTATTTTTTAAAGTGCTCTTGATCTTACCTGGGAGTTATTCGTGATATGGTTTCATAGGGCCTTTCTAACAACTGAGTCTGAGTGTAGCAAGAAAATGTAAATTCCTTGCCCATTTCTAGCTGGATGGAAAGTTTGAGGATTCAGTAAAAGTGAACAAAGTGACTATAAAACAATGGAATTTTCATCAATTATACCATAAGATTCAACCTGCACCCTTGAGCTTAACATGTGTGCATGATAAGTATCATATAATTGATCATAATATCTTCTTGCTGTTTTAGGTATTTATTGGAATTTAGATACCTACAAGGTATTGCTGCTCTTTTAACAAGATACAGCTTCAATTAAAAAAGCATTTATTTACCACCTAGCTCTCTGGTGGGCACTGTTGAGAAGATAAAGGATTAAAGGAACTATGCAATAGTCCCTATCCTTAGACTCACAGAAGTTTAGGGACATGTGTCTTGTGTACTTGAAAGAACTGGAATAGAACCCTGTCCCTTTCTCATCTGCCTGGGACTGTGGAACTCCAGTGCCCTGCTAAGGGCTGGTGTTACATTCTTCTGAGCATCAGAGAGTGAGTACTTGAACTATAAGCTCTCTCTCAACACTCGGAAGGAGTGTCTTTAGTGAATTTCATCTGAGCTTTAAAGTCTTGACTACAAGAACATACACTTTCTACATAGGTATTTTTTTAAACATAATGTCCACTATTTTCTCTTTCTTTTTTAGTTTGTTATGTACTAAGACCTGTGTGTGATGTTTTGCTTCCTCTGGGAGAAAAAAAAAAAATCAGTATATTTTCTGTATTTTAAGTGTGAGAACTATATACATTGGCAACCAGGAATTTCAGAAATCTCCAACTGTAATATCAACTCTCCTCTCTCCTACAATCACCCTGATGTCTCTGTGAGACTTAATGGTACACTTGTCTCATCATCCTTGTCAAATTCCTCCTTGTAATGGTATACTTGTCTCATCATCCTTGTCAAATTCCTCCTTGTAAAATTCTAATCAACTTCTATCTTTCCTAACTCCATTTTTATTCATTCTTATCATTTCTTTGCAGGTTTTTCTGGTAGTTATCTCAAGATCTTAAGGAAAGATAGTAGTGTATAAATAAATAAGCAAAAATAAAATGAGAAACTCATCATAGAAGTATGATTTGTTTCAGTGAATATATGAAAAAAAAAAAAGAAAATAATGAGGGTGGTTTTTGTTGTTTGTTTTTGTTTTAGGAAATAGAAAATCACCTTGACAAGGACACAGAGGGCTACGATGTGGTGCTTGATGCCATAGACACAATGCAGAGAGTAGCCTGGCACATCAACGACATGAAGCGGAAGCATGAACATGCGGTCCGCCTGCAGGTGAGGCTCAGAGCGGCAGTGTCTGGTGAGACCGTGGGCCTGTTGCTTGTTACCGTTTCCCAGATCAGATCCTAAGTCTGCTCAGTTATCACAGGTCACTCAGAGTCTTCATCATAGATCTTGCTGAGAAAAGATCAGGACAAAAAAAAAAAAAGAAAAAATTAGGACATCAGTAATACTGATCATTGTTGAATGTAGTTATTATGGCTCAGGGAACTCAAACTGGGGCTCTGTGACAACCTAGAGGGGTGGGATGGGGTGGGAGGTAGGGGGGAGATTCAAGAGGGAGGGGACATACGTACACCTAATTCATGTTGATGGATGGCAGAAACCAACATAATATTGCAAAGTTGTTTTCCTTCAATTAAAAATAAATCAATCCCTGAGTCAGGAAGATCCCCTGGAGAATGGAATGGCAACCCACTCCAGTATTCTTTCTTGGAGAATTCCATGGACAGTGGAGCCTGACAGGCTACATACAGTCCATGCGGTTGCAAAGAGTCAGATGCAATTGAGTGTCCAAACTGTGTTAAAGGGTTTTAAGCCTCTATTCCTCTGTCACTAGTTCACACAAAGTCATGAGATGGTGAACATGTGGTGATGGGGCTGGGGACTCAGGAAGGAGGACTAAGTCCAGAACCAGGTCCGTAGCAGCTTTCCTAGGAAGGGGACGTCACCACTGCATTTTAAATCCCTCACTTTTAAAATAAGACAAATTTGCTAATGTCCCTTCCATCGTCACCGTATTTAGCTCTAAATTCCTGGGAACTTTGGATAGATGCTAAGTCAGTGACCATGTCCTAGGCACCTTAGAAGATGCACTATTTAAAAACTGAAGGTCATGTGTGCTCAGAGACTAGGCCGAGGCTCTTGGTTGTCCCCGGAGTAAAAGAAAAGCCCAGTGTGACTCCATGCTATGCAGAGCGCCTGCATTCAGCTTGGGAGGGGAGAAAACCATGTCCTTTGGCCCATACATTCAAACAGAGCTCTAGGTTTCATCCACATGCAGCTAGAGGGTGGTAATTGACTGTCAAAAATCAAAGGAAGAGGACATTCTAATCTTCCAGGCCATATCTGCTTTGTGTAAGCAATAATAAAGGTTTTAATGCTTCATCATTGAAGTGTTCTGTGGACATAATGTCAGACATACTGTCAGCTAGATATTCAGAAATGGCTCAGTGACTTTTTTCATAGCTTAGGAGTCTATCTGGCAGTCTGAAGACACCACTAAATCAGTCTCTGGCTCTGAATCACCTCCATTTGTACCTTCAACTTAAGAATTGTAGAGTGGTTTTGTGGGCTGCTTAATTCAGTGCTGTTTTTGAATATTTTCATTTTTCCAAAAGTAACAAAATCCATTTTCTTTAAAAAGTTAATATGGACATACAATATATCCCAAAGAAACTTCAAAGTTGGGTTATCCATTTCTATTTATCAAGTTCCATTAAAAATGCAATGGGGGATTTCCCTGGTGGTCCAGTGGTTAAGAATCTGCCTTCCAATGCAGGGGACACAAGTTCGATCCCTGACCAGGGAACTAAGATCCCATATGCCAAGGGGCAACTAAGCCCACCCAGGGGAACTACTGAACCCATGAGCCACAACTAAGACCCAATGCAGCCAAAAAGCAAAAACAAACAAAAACCACACTGGTGAAGAAATGTTCATTTCCTTTGCCCTAGTGAATGGGATTAATGTCAGAAAATTTCTGAGAAGATGTATCTTGTGTTATCTTCTACCAGTTTTCATTATGGGTTACTTGTATGTGGTGTGAATTCAATTTCTGGAAGAAGGTTTTTAGGTCAGTAGCTCTGAAGTTTTTGTCCAAAAGATAAGGGATGAGTATGTCTTGGGAAGGATGGTGAGAAGACCATACACCAGCAGCCTCTGTACCTGGCTTTTGAAAGACAACCCCTCTGCCATAGTAGAAGGATTATTGCCAAATGGGAAGAAGTAACCAGCAACTTGTCAAATAGCACCTTGGTTCAGTTCTATTAACCCTTAAGTGACACCAGCCCTAAATGTAGCTTTATGTCGTGGACATCAGACACCACTCAGGACCCTGAGACCCTGCCACGGGTATTTGGACCCCATTCTTGAGGCTCAGTGGGCTTCCCAGGTGGTGCTAGTGGTAAAGAGCCCACCTCCCAAAGCAGGAAACAGAAGAGGTGGGTTCGATCTCTGGGTTGGGAAGATTTCCTAGAGGAGGAAATGGCAACCCACTCCAGTATTCTTGCCTGGAGAATCCTATGGACAGAGGAACCTGGCAGGCTACCATCTATAGGGTCATAGAGAGTCAGACACGATTGAAGCACCTCAGCACGCATGCACCCATCAAGGCTCAACAAACCGGCCCCTGTGTCCTCCCCGCCTTGCCCTCCCACCTCCTGTTTAATCACAGGAAACGTTCACTCTTTCAGGAGATACAGAGTCTGCTCACCAACTGGAAGGGGCCAGACCTGACCAGCTACGGGGAGCTGGTGCTCGAAGGAACCTTCCGCCTCCAGCGGGCCAAGAATGAGCGGACGCTCTTCCTCTTTGACAAGCTGCTGCTCATCACCAAGAAGAGAGACGACACGTTTACATACAAAGCCCACATCCTGGTAGGTCTGAGTGGGTATCCCGGGTGGGGACTGGGGGAGCTGGTTCCGCTCCCTTGCGAGCCTGCCTCGCCCTCTCTGCTCGCCCCTCCAGTGTGGCAACCTCATGCTGGTGGAAGTGATCCCAAAGGAGCCTCTGAGTTTCAGCGTCTTCCACTACAAGAACCCCAAGCTGCAGCACACGGTTCAGGTACCGGCGTCCCCTTGCCTCCCTGTGAGGCTCACCCTCGTACATGATGAGCATCACCTGCCTGACGGCCTTTCCACGGCTTTCTGGCCACCCTGCCTGTGTCCCATCTGGTCAGAGATCCTAGGAGTGGCCGTGTCTTGTGAGAGCTAGGGTTGCCTGACTGTCCACCTCTCCTCCTGGTAGGCGAAGTCGCAGCAAGACAAACGCCTGTGGGTTCTGCACCTGAAGAGGCTGATCCTGGAGAATCATGCGGCGAAGATTCCAGCTAAGGTAAGACCATGAGGGCAACGAGCAATAAAATGGAAAGGAATTCAGATCTCAGGAAGACAGCCTGATGGGAATAAATGTGCACTTTCAAAATGAAGATTGTTGAAAGAGAAGCTACATAAGGAACAACTGCACCAGCCATTCATACTGAAAAGATTCATATACAGAGAGACTCTTCGGAGAGTTTTTGGTTTGTTAATGTTGTTGTTTTTGTCCAAAAGATAAGGGATGAGTATGTCTTGGGAAGGATGGTGAGAAGACCATACACCAGCAGCCTCTGTACCTGGCTTTTGAAAGACAACCCCTCTGCCATAGTAGAGGGATTATTGCCAAATGGGAAGAAGTAACCAGCAACTTGTCAAATAGCACCTTGGTTCAGTTCTATTAACCCTTAAGTGACACCAGCCCTAAATGTAGCTTTATGTCGTGGACATCAGACACCACTCAGGACCCTGAGACCCTGCCACGGGTATTTGGACCCCATTCTTGAGGCTCAGTGGGCTTCCCAGGTGGTGCTAGTGGTAAAGAGCCCACCTCCCAAAGCAGGAAACAGAAGAGGTGGGTTCGATCTCTGGGTTGGGAAGATTTCCTAGAGGAGGAAATGGCAACCCACTCCAGTATTCTTGCCTGGAGAATCCTATGGACAGAGGAACCTGGCAGGCTACCATCTATAGGGTCATAGAGAGTCAGACACGATTGAAGCACCTCAGCACGCATGCACCCATCAAGGCTCAACAAACCGGCCCCTGTGTCCTCCCCGCCTTGCCCTCCCACCTCCTGTTTAATCACAGGAAACGTTCACTCTTTCAGGAGATACAGAGTCTGCTCACCAACTGGAAGGGGCCAGATCTGACCAGCTACGGGGAGCTGGTGCTCGAAGGAACCTTCCGCCTCCAGCGGGCCAAGAATGAGCGGACGCTCTTCCTCTTTGACAAGCTGCTGCTCATCACCAAGAAGAGAGACGACACGTTTACATACAAAGCCCACATCCTGGTAGGTCTGAGTGGGTATCCCGGGTGGGGACTGGGGGAGCTGGTTCCGCTCCCTTGCGAGCCTGCCTCGCCCTCTCTGCTCGCCCCTCCAGTGCGGCAACCTCATGCTGGTGGAAGTGATCCCAAAGGAGCCTCTGAGTTTCAGCGTCTTCCACTACAAGAACCCCAAGCTGCAGCACACGGTTCAGGTACCGGCGTCCCCTTGCCTCCCTGTGAGGCTCACCCTCGTACATGATGAGCATCACCTGCCTGACGGCCTTTCCACGGCTTTCTGGCCACCCTGCCTGTGTCCCATCTGGTCAGAGGTCCTAGGAGTGGCCGTGTCTTGTGAGAGCTAGGGTTGCCTGACTGTCCACCTCTCCTCCTGGTAGGCGAAGTCACAGCAAGACAAACGCCTGTGGGTTCTGCACCTGAAGAGGCTGATCCTGGAGAATCATGCGGCGAAGATTCCAGCTAAGGTAAGACCATGAGGGCAACGAGCAATAAAATGGAAAGGAATTCAGATCTCAGGAAGACAGCCTGATGGGAATAAATGTGCACTTTCAAAATGAAGATTGTTGAAAGAGAAGCTACATAAGGAACAACTGCACCAGCCATTCATACTGAAAAGATTCATATACAGAGAGACTCTTCGGAGAGTTTTTGGTTTGTTAATGTTGTTGCTGTTTGAAAGAAGAAAAATAAGGGAAAGATTGTACAAAAAAATTTATAGAGAGCGAGTAGAAAATAAAGGGATTTATGAGAATTATTCAATGGTGTGCTAAGTACCTAGGGTAAATAAAGCTGGCTTAGGTTCTGTGGGAAGCGAGACCCAGACTTGGCCATGAAGGAATCTGCAGACAAGGGAGCTAGTCATATAAATGATGAACTGTTTGCTAAATATGATGAATGAATAGAGAGATAAACCAAGTATTGTGGATGAGTAAAGTATTCAAGTTTGTGGTCGAGTGAGGAGAGGAAAGAAAATGCCTTTTACCTCAGTATTGGCGGATGAGGAATATTTTTATTAAGTGGGGAAAAGAACAAGGGAAACCAAACTAAGAGAACAGCAGAAACAAAAAAAACAGAGGTGTGAAAAGAGGCCTTTGTTAAACAGCACGCAGATTGTGCTTGAATGGAAGTCCACAGATTGAATGGTCAAGTTCTCAGGAGGTGGAGTAGGAGATAAGATTAGGAAAGTGGAAAGCAGTCAGCTGAACTTTGAAGGCTTTGAACACACACACACTGAGGAACCTGGATTATTGTAGGGGGAAACTCCTAAAGGTTTTGGAGGGAGGGGATGGTCTGTTTTGTGTTCTGAGAGTGTCACTTTGGGGGCAGTGTGACGGATAAGCTGGTGGAGCATCACTGGCAGCAGGAAAAGAATTGGCAGGTCTCCATGGAGGGCTAGAAAGGAGAAGAGGGGCACAGCCAGGGAGCATGAGAGGAGGAGGAGAGGCAGTGTAGAAGAGGAGAGGGAGAAGTAAGTCAAGGATGAGTCAGGTGTTGGGCCAAGAGGATGGTGTCAGAAGTTCCAAGACAGGCTGCCAGGGAGACGAACCAGTTGGATGGGCCCAAGAGGGAAGCGTGGCCCATGTGCAGGGGCAGTTCAGCTGCAGGAGAGACGCAGGTCTCTCCACCCAGGCAGTCACCAAAGCCCGGAGATTTGATAAGAGGGCCCATGCAAATGCAAAACAGGAAGACAGACCCTTGGGAATCCAGCATCTAAGTGCTCGGCAAGGGGCGGGGGATTTGGAGAAGAACCAAAGATAGAGGGGCCAAGTGAGGCAGTAAGAAAACCGAAGGAGAAAGGTGTGGTAAGAAAAGAAGGAAAGAACGTCTCTGAGAAAGAGTGGAGTAACCATCTCAAAGGCCGCAGAGATGACAACAGATTCAAACAGAAAAGCAGGTATTAGGTTTGGCAGCTGAGATATGGGGGAGAGAGAGAGCAGTGGGTCGAAGAGAAATAAGGAACAGACCAGGTGTGGCCTTCTTTTTTTAAACAAAGTTCAGAAGGGCCAAACAGTGGTAGTTTGAGGAGAGGTGAGATCAAAGGAAGACACTTTGCCCTCATGAAGAATGTCGTGGGCACGTGGGCTGAGGGGATGAGGAAAGGAAATGGGAGACAGGAAAGATAAGAGGTGGGGCACTCCTTGGAATGTGACTCTGGGGAGATGGTAGGATAGGGACAACCTTAATCCAGAATTTGGGGAGGGGGTGTGTACTGTAAATACAGTCTAATAAAGACATTAGATTGTGAATGTAATGATGGGAACTCAAAACTTATTGTTTATTAAAAAAATGTTCGAGAACTGCTAATGCACACCTCCATATATAAAAACATGGGTTTTTCAAGCTTTTAAAAGCTAGAAGTAATTCCACTGGTCTTAGGAACCAAAAGTTGATGCAACTCTATGTAAAATTTAACAAATCCATTCACCTTCTTTATACTAATTACACTTTTTATGTTAACTTTACCAGCAGGTGTAGGGGTTAGTCTTGTCAAGAGTCAGAAACATCTTCCCTGAGCTGGGGGAAGAAGAAAAATAAGAGAGGATAAACTTTGAGGTGGACTTGAGAGAGCTTAAAGGGTTTGCCTTCACTAAAGTTGCTGGTAACAGCATCTGCCGGGTGAGTAAAGCAAAGATGGGGCTAGGTGTCCAAGGGCAAGTAGAGAGCTTCAGAGCACGGGCTGAAGAACATGGACTAGGGACTTCCCTGGTGGTCCAGGGGCTAAGACTCTCTGCTCCCAGCGCTGAGGGCCTGGGTTTGACCCCTGATCAGGGAAATAGATCCCACATGTGGCAATTAAGAGTTCCCATGCCACAACTAAAGATCTTGCATTCAACAGCGGAGATCAGAGATACCATGTGCCACAGCTAAGATCTAGTGCAACCAAATAAATAAATGTTAAAAAAAAAAAAAAAACACCATGGACTAGAAAGTCAGTGGGGATGACTACAGTCATCTGTGAAAGGAATCTGGACCGCACTGAGGCTGACCACCACGAACCAATGTGATGACTCAGCAACTTTGAAACTAGTGTGAGGAACCCTGGCACGCATAGGTTACCCAAGGCTGGGGACCAGCAGAGCAGTGAGGGGAAAGGTTAACAGGGAAGGCACAGTGCTAACCAGCATCCAGCCTGCAGTGATTGAACATAATTCCCAGGCTGAGTGGAGCGTGAAACCAGCCAGGAGAACAGGTGCGTGTTGAAGGATAAGTCAGAGAACTGGTTCAGCAAGAGTCCGGGTGGAGAGATGGAAATACAGAGATCTATCATTGAAGGAGGGACTTTTGGAGTCCTGCCTGCAAGGGAGGGCACTTCTGGGTTATGATAAGGCTCTGGGGGCGGCTGTGATTATGCATTGCTTGCTGTTCTGGAGTGGAGGGAAAGGATGTCCTAAAGGATACGGAGATCCACACGCAGGGGGAAGGGGTCTCTGCTGGGGCGGGGAGGAGGCAAGTAGAGCAGTAAATGGGATGATGCTCATGAGAGCAGAACTGGGTGGAAAATGACATGATCTGAGATTTCTGAGAAAGAAAGTCTGTTTGCTCTTTGCATACTTTTTGAAAAGTCTGTGAAGCTTGTCCTCAGGGTCTGTCAGCAGCGCTTCTGTGCCCAGAAAATGAATGTGTATGGGTGTGGCCTTTGACTGAGGTGTGAGTCTCAGCTCATCAGGGCGTTCCAAGGGGTCAGGTAACTCATGCAGAGAGGTGAATGCATTTTCTTCATACTTAGTCAGTTGTTCGCTGGCCTTGTCTCTTGGAATGCCCTTCTGAGCAAATGGCAGGTGCCATTGATAAGCCCCACCTGTTGTTCTCCTGTCCCTGGGAAAATGAAAACCGCCAAAGGGGTTCTGAAAGGCAGTTATTGGCCATTACAAAATGAAGCTAGCTTACAGAACTTCCTCTTTCTCCCACACTAGGGGGTGTGTATTCCAGGCAGTTTTCCCTTTGTATTTTATAAGGATTAATAGAGTCACAGTAGAACTGTACTTTTTTGTCCCTGATCCTTTTAGGATGTAAATGATGTATTTTTTCAGCTACAAATGCTTGAGCATGCTGAGAAATATGCTTATTTCTTCAAAATGCCTTCTGCGAAAGATCGTGTTCTCCCCATTCTAGAGAAATAAAAACAGAGGCTCAGAGATGGAAAGTAAACTGACCTCATTTATGCAACTAGTATATGAATGAGTCCAGATTCAAACCTAGTTCTGCCTCGCCCCAAAGATGGTCTTAACTACATTGTTCCCAGGGAAAATGAAAGCACTCTTATTTACTATATTATATCCACTATAAGGTTATGATAATTTTCTATCTTATTTAAACAGGATTATTACTAATCTGAATTTTTCACTATTTCTTAAATTATTTTCTTAAAGCTTTCAAAATATATTTACTCTTATTAAATAAAATGCATAATGGGAAAAATATCAAAAAATGTATCATTGTTCTACTATTTAACAGCTTAAGAAGTTAGGTTCCTCCTAAAGAGTCAACACAACTAAACAGCAAAGAACAAAACTTCCTTCTGGTCCTTTAATTCTGTGATGGTCCTTGACTGGCCCCTAGTGGAAAATGTGGGAATAGTACTTTTTGATATTAACTGTCAAGGCAAGAAATAAAAATACTGAGTTCTTAAAGTCAAGCTTATAAATATCAAGAAACTTCCTGGAAGTTAGCCATATGGTCCATCTATATACGTGGTATACACTAACTTTTGTCCAGATTAATTGGGAATAAGGTGCAGGTAGAAACTGTTGGATTTTCTTTATACACATGGTTCTGCAAATGCCCTTCACAGAAATTGAGCTAACATTTGTGTCTAAAATTAACTTGACTAGTAACCTCAAACTCTGAATGTATGATAAAAAATATCAGTGCTATTAAAAAAAACTAAGCATTTGTTTTCTCAAAATTAAGGTGACTGCATCAAGGATTTTTTTTTTTTTGATTGCCGCTTAGCCTAGATATTTTTACTGTGATGTCACATACTGTGACAAAGTAAAATTATTCTGTAAGTTATTCTTAGCATAATATTTGTAGGCTAAGTCACACTACCTTGAAAAATGAAAATGACATTCAGGAGGCAAGAAAGCCTACCTTATTTTTTTCTTCTTTGAATCCTCGGGCAGAATAATTAATATTAAGGCCATTAACCTATCTTTTTATAGTTCCCTAAACGTCGATAACATATGACAACAATCATAACGAAAAGAAGCCTCACAGCAGTAAACTTCAGAAGCTCAGGGTTGAGGTGGGGAGAAGGATGTATGTAGAGGAAGCAAGAGTCAAGGTTATCAGGGTCAGTCCCCTGCGGGAGTAGATGGTAACTAACTGGGTTAAATGGCTGTTATTTGCTATCAGCAGCAAGTATGAAAGGTGGGTCCTATCTGACCATCTTTAGGTTGAGGGAACTTATGCAGAAATTTGAGAGCACCTGCCTAGTTAAGAGCTAGAGCTGGATCACGGGCCGTGTCCTCCAGGGCTCTTCTGCCCCTCGGGAGATTCCAGGGCACACGAAAGAGATGGTGGTACAGGCATGCTGCAGGGAGCTGGGAGAGCCAGCTGATGAGTTTATCATATTTGGAGGGAGGAAAACATAGAAACCGGCCAGCAACTATTTTGCATTCAGCTCAAAAGAGTTATCATGCCCTGTGATATGAGGAGGGCTGGTGGTGTAGGTTCTGTTCCTTGAACGTTTGATTGCATAGATTGAGATTGGATTCAATAGACCAGGGTTGGGGTAGAAGGAATCTCTCTTTCCCTCTTCTTTTCCCTTCCTCCTCCTCCCTCTGTCTTCTCCCACCCCACCTTCCCTCCTTTCTTCCTTCCCTTTTTTCTTTCCTGGTGGAGGCTGTAAGCTTAGCCCCGGGGCACTGAAGGGACAGCATCTACCATCCACACAAGGATGCTCAACTGTTTGAATCCCTTGAACTCTGTATTAGTGCCTAAAAAAAAAATGAGTTTTCATTTTATAAAAACTTTTTAAAAACCACTCGTCCCAGTGGGCTAAAACATGTCTTGGGATTGGCAGTTTAAAAAAGAAAAAACAAAACAGGACTTTGTAATTATAACTACATCTTCTTTCTTTCAGGCCAAGCAAGCAATACTTGAAATGGATGCCATTCGTAAGTTTTGGGGTTTTTTGCACAATTTGAAATTTCATTGTCTACTTGTATCTGTCACATTTTCTGTCTTCAGGCTTACAGATGTCCCGTTGTCAATTGTGAGATGTCAAAACTCAATTGTAAGAAAGTAGCAGCTCTCTATTTACTGTTGTAACAAAAAGATCCAGTTGAACTTTTTTTAACCCATCGGCTTCTTTCTCCATTGATTTCTCCTGGTTCATCTGTGAGCCCACCAATGGTTCATCACATGTCTCCACATCAACTCACAACAAGCTATGCTTCCAGGATCACCTCTTACCCCACCTCCATCACCACCAAAACAATGAAGGTCTCACAATGCATCTCCCACATCACCCCAAATATATTGATTATCTGCAAGAATCACACTAACTTGATACGTGTTGGTTCCTGATACAGCTCACATTTAAAGTTACAATTGCCCCACACGTGTGACTGTGTCTTACACTTCTCATAGCAGGCAGAGAATAAATACAAGTGAGGTCTTTCCAATAAAATAAGACTTGTTCAAAGCACTTACCACATCCTTGTTACCGCCTGGGTTAAACAAACTTTGAAAAGAAGCAATAGCTTCAAAGACTTATAGCCAAGTCTGACAGAAACTTTTACTTAAAACTTCCTACCTTTGAGGAATCTTTCCCCAAGTGTAAACACTAATTCACTTACACAACACCCTCTCTTCCTCCTAGCCTGCTGGTTGTTAATCTCCAGCAGGAAAAGAAATGAAACGTTACTGAAATAAAGAAATGAGCCCCAGCACCGAGATTCCCCATTGCATGCCCACTGGACGCCACCAGGAAATGATGCAAGATGACCCTACCAGAGAGCTAGGCTGGGGCTCACTGCCCTGTGTTCTCTGAAGCCACTTATTTTATTCAGTAAAAGTCTCTTTAAGATTCTTTTTTTTGGGGGGGAGAGGGGGGAGTGGGTGGTGGCTTAGATGGTTAAGAATCTGCCTGCAATGCGTGAGACCCAGGTTTGATCCCTGGCTTGTGAAGATCCCCTGGAGGAGGGAATGGCAACCCACTCCAGTATCCTTGCCTGGAGAATCCCATGGACAGAGGAGCTTGGCAGGCTACAGTCCACGGGGTCGCAAAGAGTCGGACGCAACTGAGCAACTAACACATAGTTGATTTTCAGTATATCATTCCCAGGTATACAACAGTGACTCACAGTTTTTAAAGACTTTACTCTATTTGTAGTTATGATAAAATATTGTCTGTATTCCCTGTGCTGTATAATATATTCGTATAGCAGATTTATTTTATCAATATGCATATAATACATATGGGCACTCTGAAGAGAAGGTGAGGTCATGGATGGGCATGTGAGAGTGAGGAGGAAAGATGGAGAAAGATGGGGATCCAGAGGGGTCAGCTGTTCAATCCCAGTCTCTGTGGTACCACTGGTTAGTGAGTTCAGCTGTTAATCCAAAGGTTGGTGGTTCGAGCCCACCCAGGAACACTGTTTGGGCTTCCCAGGTGGTGCTAGTGGTAAAAAAAAAAAAAACCACCCACCTACCAATGCAGGAGATAAGAGACACAGGTTTGATCCCTGGCTTAGGAAGATCCCCTGGAGGGAGGGTATGGCAGCCCACGCCAGTATTCTTGCCTGGAGAATCCCATGGACAGAGGAGCCTGGCGGGCTACAGTCCATGGGGTCACAGAGTCAGACACGACTGACGTGTCTTAGCAAGCACAGCGATTCAACATGACTGGCTACATTTGACGACATTGTTTGTTTATTCCCAGGCTCTGGGTTAGCTCTTGGACACCAACAAGGACATACTGTGTAGCCCAGGGAACTCTGCTCAATGTTATGTGGCAGCCTGGATGGGCACGGGGCTGGGGGGAATGGATACGTGTGTGTGTATAGGTGAGGAGCTGTGCTGTGCCCCTGAAATTATAGCATTATTAACCAGTTATACTCCAATATAAAAAAGTTTTTAAATAAATTACAGATAAATTGCACAGATAGTAATTACACATTCTTTTTTTAAAAAAATATGAGGCTTGAGACCTGAGTATAACTAACAAAGAAGAAATAAATAACACAAAAAAATAATTCTCTGAGCACACAGCATGCCGGCAAGCCTCTAACTGGCATCCTGTGCCTCTCTTCCAGGCCAGGTTCATCCACAGCATCCCAGCCTAGGAAAATTACCCTCCTTGCTGTACCCTGACTTTGGTCTCAGCCGGCTGTGAACAGAATAGGCCAGTCCATTGGACCAAATGACCTCATTTGGATACCTTTGACTCTGACATTGAAGTCTATGTGGTTTTTATAATCCTCAGAACTTTCTCACACTTCAGACAGACCTAAAGATGCTTAACCTCAATTTGAAGAATACCCATCTCCAGCTATGTCCTAACACTGTTTATCCCTCAAGCTTCAGGGTGCAGATGGTCATTGACTATGCTGCAATACTTTAGACTTAGACCAGATTTTCTTAATCCAAAGTCTGTGTACTCCTTAGATGAAATGAAATGAAAATCCCTTTTCTGAGAAGAGAGCTTAAACCATTTAAACCATGTCTAGAAAAATGTGGAGGACAGCTTCCACGGGGTCAAGGAAGGGCTTAGCACCCTCCACCACCATGCCAGGCAGACGTGCCTCTCGAAATTGCTCCCCAGATGGAATCCTGCAGGCAGTTGTGCCGTGACTGGGGCTCTGTTATGGCCCTTTTCTGAAGCTTCTCAGGAGTCTTGTTTGTTTTTTTTTTTTTTAATTTAATGTAACTGTCTGACCTCTGTGGGTCTCAGAGTTGCCGGTGAGTCTGAATGGGTACCAGAAGTTACCACACCTTACACATATGAACTAACTTTCTAGGAAGGGGAAAGACAAAGGCTGTAGCTCTTTCTTCCAGAGAGTAAAGAAAGTAGTAGGGAGAATACATGTGGGTGCCTGGGGGTGTGGGAGGGGGTGGAAGTGGAGAATGTGGTTTACCTTGCTAACACACTCCTGCAAAGTCTTGAGATGCATATTCAACACCGGTTATGGAAGGAGGGATTCTACTATGTCTAATGAAAAAGAATAAATCCACAGATACCCAGGACAAGTTCTTCCCGTTTTCTGAAAAATCACGGAACACTGCATTCTTTTTTTTTTTTTTTTTTTTTTTTTTTTTTTTTTTTTTTTNAGTATTGTGGTGGGTTTTACCATACCTCGACATGGATCAGCATGGAACACTGAATTCTTATAGACACCTGTGGTTCTTTACAGATTACCCAGGCTTCTGTTACAGTCCCGAGGGAGAGACTTGTGGCTCTCGAAATGGCTCTGCTCCGTATCGGCTGAGAAGGAAATCTGGTAAATACAATATAATCAGATGTAATCAAAATTAAATAACTTGGGGGCACTAGTGATGAAAGTCCCTTTCAGCTAGACAAAAAGGTATTTTCTTTCTGGTTTTTGAACACATCGCCAGTTTTATTATCTTTGACACTCTCAAGCTTTGGTTCTAAAAGTCTTTCTACTTAACTCTCAATTTTTCAATGACTATAAAACATGTCAATCAACTAAGTTCACTTTGTATAGCATTTTACCACTAGTATGCAGGTGTTTAAATCCTACTTACTGGCGCTGGTGAAAAATTGTATCCTGTAAATGATGTATACCAAAGCTACTTCAAATCAAAAATTTTAATACACATCTGCTAAACTAGACTTCTTGTGGTATCCCCTTATCCCTCAGATTTCTCTTCATTTAAATTGGCATTTACTAAGTTCCTGATTTCCTACATTGTGCTAAGAAAATGTAAGAATAATGCCCATGATTTCTGCTTGCAAAGAGTTTGTAGCCTAGTGGGAGAGTCAAAAAAGGTTGAACAAATAGCAGCTCATACAGTGGAGTTTGTAGAGGTTGAACGGAAGTTTTGAAAAGGGGAGCGACAGAGGGGTGAGCCCTCTAGGAAGGAGAGAAGACCATGCAGGGCGGAGGATCAGGACCCTGGGTAGAATCTGAAGAGCCAGATGGTGTGGGGACAGCATATGCAAAGGCCCTGAGGCTTGAGTCAGCACACCTTAGATCAGACAGCTATTGCCAGTTGTTTGGCCTTGGCTGCAGCGTGGGCTGGAGGTACAAGTGAGCAAGGTAAACGGAAAAAGATGTGGCTGGAGTTGCAAATCAGGGCCTGATTGTGGAAGGCCGAGTAGGTCAGGCAGAGGGTTTGAACTTGATCTTGCAAGCTGTGGAAGGATTTTAAGCAATGAAATGTTTTCATTTTAAAAGAGAATTCTGGCTTAATGTGGAAAATGAAGTAGGCAGGGACACTGGGCCAGAGGCTGTTCCTCTAGTCTGGGCGAGAGATGCTAAAGGTTTGGAATAAGACGGTGATAACTGGGAAGGAACATCAATAGGATCCCACAGGACTGTGATGGATGAAAATGGGAAAAACTTAAAATGATGTCCTGGTCACTAGGGAAGATAACGTGAATGGCAACCAAGGTAAGAACTACAGATGGAGGAGCAGCTGTGGGGGAGACTGGTGAGCTGAGATTGGGATATGCTGAGTTTGCTGGGTCTGTGGTCATGCTGGGGACATGTCAGATGGACAGTTGGTGTCTGAGGTTTGGCATAGGGCTCTGGCAGAAGGAGATTGAACATAATCCTCTTATAGGTGGTACTTAAAGCTGAGAACATTGTGCTTCTGTGGGTTGGGTTGGTTTTCTGTTAGGTGACTCCAGATTGCATAGCTTAGTGTTCATCCTATAGTTTTGACTGAGTGAATGTCATGCCAAGTATCTCCAAGCAGTCAGGATTTAGGTGAGTTTGGGTGGCAGAGGATGAGATGGGTAGCTAGCATCTCTGACTCAGTGGACATGAATTTGAGCTAACTCCGGGAGATAGCGGAGGACAGACGAACCTGGTGCGCTGCTGTCCGCAGGGTTGCAAAGGGTTGGGTACGACTTAGTGACTGAAAAATAATAATTACTTATAAAGAAAAAAATCTTGATTTGGTTTCACAAATGATGCTGGCCTTATTTTTTTCTCCCAGAACCTTCCTCAAGATCACATAAAGTTTTGAAGACCAGCGGTAAGTCCTAAATCACTTTTTTTTTCATTCCTGTTGATATCCACAAAGTCACACAATATACAGAAAAATCAACACCAGATGTATTACAGATTAGTAGGTTTGATTAATGTCTGTAAGTAATACTGTCCCATTATAAAATGTAAAGCTGAATGACATAAAATGTTTGTAGTATAGATAACAGTGGACATAAAAAGATTAATGCTTGTGAAATCCCATTAATACAAAAGACAAAGGACTTCTATTCTGAAGGCAGATAATATAATCTGGCAGAAACACAAATTGCCAATAAAATTTACAAATGGTCACTCACATTAGTAATCAGAAAATCATACATATACGTGAGATAAACAGAGGTGAGAGAGCTGTGGGCTTGGCCAAAAGAAGAGAAAAACAGGCACTCTGAAGCTATTGGTGTATAAATTTCTGCAGTGTTTTTGGAGCAAAATTTGTTAATGCCCACTTAAATTTTAAATGTGCATTTTCCCTTGAACCAACAATTTCATAGTTTTCACTTGTATGTTTCACAATGTATACTTCCTATATAGACATTCTCAGTATGCACACATTTATGAGTATTTGTGTTCTTTTGCTTTTAACAGGATACCACATAATAAATATGCCCATCTAGTGAAAAATGATTTTAAAAGTTATAAATCCCAGAACACTACATGGAATATTCTGCAGCTGTTAAAAAGAATGAAGTACATATCTGTCTACTGATAGGCTTGTGCCCATATATTTAGCAGGAAATGCAGTGTTGCATATTGCACCCTTATTATAGAAACAAAAAGACTGTGGGATCGGGGGCGGGGTGGGCACAGGACCTGGAAAGATGAACATCAGACTTCTTTGATTGGGGTTTCCTCTATGGGGTAGAATTTGTGGAGAGGGTTCAATCACTTTTCACTTTACATGCTTCTGTAGTCAACACATAAAGATGAGACAGACATGATCAGGGTATCGTAAGGGTATCTATGAGGATGCAGCTAGTAAGTTTCTCCCCACCATTCCTCTCGCACTGTCCTTAGCACAGACCCAAGGTGACCCTTTTGATCAATGATGTGCCTTTCTGTTACAACCGATAAAATGTTTAAAAATTAACAAGTATAATCTTATGTTTAAATGGTTTTCATGGAAATTTTTTTCAGGTTATATATATTTTCAGGAAAAGCTTTTGAAACTTAATATGAATTAGTCCATTGCTTTCTCAGGGATTAAGGAAAGTACTTAACACTCAGATGTGTATCAAGTTGTTATAGTACAGGATATGTAACTTGGGTAACTGAGTGGTATTTTCTGAAAATCAGGTCAAAAGAGCCTTGAGACTCTTGGGTTTCAGTGATTAACAATAAATTTAAAAGTTCTATACAATGTGAGTGCTTAGCTATGTATGAGATACATTTTTAATCCTCAAACTTTAAAATGTTTTAAATCTTTTGTTTTTCAGAAACGGCACAAGACATCCAAAAGGTAAGTACTATTATGTTCCTTATTTTGAAATGTTTACTTTAGGCAGCCTTTATACCTGCCTATCTTTTCCTTAAAAATCTAACCTCCAGTTTTTATCTTCCAAGTGTAAACAATTACTTTACATGTTGAAGTAGATTTAAGTTAGGACTCTTCCTTATCAACCCTCCCCCCACCTCCCCACCCCCAGCTTCATCTCTCAGAACCAAGGCATTGATTTCTTCATCTTTCTGCCCCACCTCTCTGCTCAGAAGCTGTAAAGATACCTTAGGATGTAACACCAGCAGAGGCTGTGGTCCACGCCACGTTGCCCTGTGCCTGTGTGTATGTAAGACCAAGGTTCTTGCATCCCGACCATTTGCTCCTTTTTCAAAGCATCAGCCTTCAATCACAAAGATCCCCCTCTAAGAATGCAGTCCTACTGCTGGTATGAACAGCGTGATCATATGTGGTATAACAAAACTTCACTATATCAAGTTTTGATTTTTCTTCCTCTAATGAAAGGTTAGGAGAAGGGGAAATAAAAGTGGTATGTTTTATTGGAAGATGTATATTCACATTTATTACCTATGAACAATAAATATTGTATCCTGACCAGAGTGAATCATGTCCAAAATGCCTACTGATAGATTGGCTTAACTAACAATTCTTAGAAAACCGATCTTGGCTTCTTGCTTTGTGTTCTGTAATGATGTGACTCTGAAAATCTCCCCCATGACTCCACTTGCCCCTCTCCTTGGCACAGGGCCAGAATGACCATGTTAATAAATGATGGATCTTTCAGTTAAGATGTCTAAACATCTAAAATCAATAGTCTTAATCTTTAAATGATTTCCTTAAAATTGGAGCAGATGGATTTTTTTCAGGTAGTGCCTATTTCTGTTTGGAAACTTTTGAAAATTTACTAACAATGAATTGATTCACTGTCCTGAAATATGACATAAGAGATTTTGATTTTTTTAAATGTACTTTGTTTTCATAAGCAAACACCAGAAGGTGGCTTTGCTTTCTAAGAATGCAGTCCTACTGCTGGTATGAACAGCATGATCATATGTGGTATAACAAAACTTCACTATATCAAGTTTTGATTTTTCTTCCTCTAATGAAAGGTTAGGAGAAGGGGAAATAAAAGTGGTATGTTTTATTGGAAGATGTATATTCACATTTATTACCTATGAACAATAAATATTGTATCCTGACCAGAGTGAATCATGTCCAAAATGCCTACTGATAGATTGGCTTAACTAACAATTCTTAGAAAACCGATCTTGGCTTCTTGCTTTGTGTTCTGTAATGATGTGACTCTGAAAATCTCCCCCATGACTCCACTTGCCCCTCTCCTTGGCACAGGGCCAGAGTGACCATGTTAATAAATGATGGATCTTTCAGTTAAGATGTCTAAACATCTAAAATCAATAGTCTTAATCTTTAAATGATTTCCTTAAAATTGGAGCAGATGGATTTTTTTCAGGTAGTGCCTATTTCTGTTTGGAAACTTTTGAAAATTTACTAACAATGAATTGATTCACTGTCCTGAAATATGACATAAGAGATTTTGATTTTTTTAAATGTACTTTGTTTTCATAAGCAAACACCAGAAGGTGGCTTTGCCAGGCAGCCAAACTGTGATCACAGAGCAAGCCTGGCTTAGTACCAGGTGGGGGAATCGCTCTAATAGTCCTAGAGATACAATCTCAGGAGCTTCTTGGAAACTTTTCATGGTAATGATCAAACCAAGTCTCCATGTGGGGACTAACTAAACCTTATGAAGTCTGAAGATAAGAAAAATAAAGCACCAATGTGCTTTTTTCTTAGTGGTAAAATTCCATCTCCTAACAAAAATGAATGCATACTAAATGCAGAAAGAGACTCAAGAGATAAAGAGATTAACGTTTCTCCCAGAATATATACAGAATATGCATTCCAAAGCTCTGTGTGTGTGTGTAGAGAAGGAGAGAGATTTAGCTCACATGTAAACTGAGGATTAAAATATGGATACAGATCCATTTCTGCCATTTGAAAGCTGTGTGACTATAGGCAAGTGGTTAAACCTTACCAAGACTTCGTTTCCTAACTTACAGAATTGTTATAAAGATTAAATGTCGTATGTTTTTTAAATGTGCTTGGTACAGTACTTGGCCCAAATCAAGTGCCCCCAAAATTATGGCTGTTATCTTATTGCTAAATAGCTATAATGCCAAGAATGTAGAAAAATGGGGAGAGGGATGTTCCTTATGCAGGATCTACACTACATGTTATGTCAACTCCATATACTGATTCTTTCTTTTTTTGTGTGCTTTATTAATGAGTTGTTTATTTTTTTAATTTGATGCTTATAGGTGTTTTTCTCATTCTCTATCTTTTTAATTTTTATTGAAATACAGTTGATTTACAAAGTTTAGTTTCCAATGTAGAACAATGTGATTCAGTTATGCGTATATATGTATATATACATACTCTCCTTTTAATTTTTATTTTATATTGGAGAATAGTATATTAACAATGTTGTGTTAGTTTCAGGTATACAACAAAGTGATTCAGTTATATATTTACATGTATCTATTCTTTTTCATATATATTCTCTTTATATTATCTTCCATTACAAGTTATAATAAGATATTGAGTATAGTTCCTTGTGCAATACAGTAGATCCTTGATGGTTATCTATTTTCTATATGACAGTCTGTATATTTTAATCCCAAACTACTAGTTTATCCCCGCCCCCCTTCCTTTTTGGTAACCATAAGCTTGTTTTCTACGTCCGTGAGTCTATTTCAGTTTTGTAAATAAGTTCTTTAATATCATTTTTTTAAGATTCCATTTGTAAGTAATATCATACGATACTTGCCTTTCTCTGATTATTTCTTAATCTAAAAGCTTCTTCCAGTCTCCTGATAATGTATTTNAAAAGCTTCTTCCAGTCTCCTGGTAATGTATTTGAAGTAAAATTTCACATTCCAACGTATTCCTTACTTCACTTCAAGTGTAGTTACCTTGAAAATATACTTTGATATTAACCACTCAGGTTTCCTTAATTTTCTAAAATGTCTGGAAATTTTTGTGGAATGAAAGATTTTAAGAAGGTATTACTTCTGACTGTTCACAAAATTGTTTTTTTACAATTCCACAACATTTTGTCATGATTCAACTAGCTAATACTAACTTTTTTTTAATAAAATAGAGTTACTGGGTGCCTATATTATACCAGTGCAGTCTGAGTAAAAGGAGGAGAGAGAGAGATTAAAAGGCAAAGAAAAAAAAGAAAAGCCATATATATAACATGATTTATGTATTTATATATATATACATATCCATATGTGTGTGTATTTGTTTATTCCTAGTCCTCAAGTGGCCAGTTTTACTGTTTGAAAAAAAGTGAACAAAGGATTAAATGACTAATAAGACTTTTTATATCTTTAATAGAAAAATAACATTCAGGATAAAATTTTATTCTTGCCCTCCCTAATAGACAGACAGGCAGGTCGGTAGGCAGATAGACATATTAGTAGGTGGATATTCCAAGCTTCCATAGGCAGACAGACATCTTAGTATGTGGATATTCCAAGCTTCCATAAGCCTCTTATCCTTATCCATCAGAAGGCAGGCAGAATAAAAACCACAATCACAGAAAATTAACGAAACTGATCACATGGACCACAGCCTTGTCTAACCCAATGAAACTATGAGCCGTGCCATGTAGGGCCTCCCAAGATGGATGGGTCATGGTGGAAAGTTCTGATAAAACGTGGTCCACTGGAGAAGGGAATGGAAAACCACATTAGTATTCTTGACTTGAGAACCCCATGAGCAGTATCAAAAGGCAAAAAAATGGGACACTGAAAGATAAACTCCCCAGGTCTGTAGGTGCCCAATATGCTACTGGAGATCAGTGGAGAAATAACTCCAGAAAGAATGAAGAGATGGAGCCAAAGCAAAAACAACACCCAGATTTGGCTTTTGCAGCCAAAGATGGAGAAGCTCATACAGTCAGCAAAAACAAGACTGGGAGCTGATGGCGGCTCAGATCATGAACTCCTTATTGCCAAATTCAGACTTAAATTGAAGAAAGTAGGGAAAACCACTAGACC